AAGGGGATCAATGGAGGATCGACACCGATGCTGTCTCACTGCCCCATGTGGTCGCCGTTCAATCATCCCGCAAGTACAATGAAAGCCCCCTCCCTCCCCGGAGCACGTGTCACCCTGAGCGATGTAAATATCCTGGCCCTCTCCGACCATCAGTTCGACCTTAAAGACCCGAATCGTAGCTCAGCCAGTCCACAAGCATCCAAAGCACCAGCTCATCATCCTTGTCGCAATTTCGTTGCAGGCAACTCCCGCTGTCACCTCGCACCCCGCTGCCTCGCATCCCTCGTTCGACTCGCCGCGCCTCTTCCTGCCTGCCGAACACACTCACCACCGCTCAACACGCAACAATTGATAATGACTGGCGGCGACAAACGGAAGTACATTACCCGTTCCGTGACTTCACAAGCGGCGCCGTCTGCTACACCTCCCGCTGCCACTGTTGCTCCCGCCCCTGCTCCCCAGCAACAATCTCAAGCAGACCAGCAGCAGCAGTACACCCACCACCATTTTAAACCATTGACTCAGTTTGCAGGCGAGTGCGGCGTTTTCCTCATGTTGTCGCTGCCCATGTCACATGTCTTCTAACCTGCCGCCATCACCCTGGTTGCCGATAGACCCGAGAAGCCGCATCTCCTTTACGGCATCCAGTGTCTTGCGCTCGAGGCCAAGTGGAAAATGCATGTATGTTCCCATCATGGCTTTGCCCTTGGCCGCTTGGCAGTTAACCATCAGCTAACACTTCGGTTTGGATCGCAATGGTCCCAGCTAAGTGAGCCTAAGCTCATGTATGCCGCTCCACACCGAGACGCAGTCATGAACGCATCTGGATGACTCCTTTTGCAACTGCATCATTCTTGATGGGACAGAATGCACAAGGTGATTGATTGGACCAGCTTTGGGACCAAGTACGCTCCAGAAACGGTGCACATCCATTGTAGTTGCTTCGATTTCCTTTGTTGCGATGCTAACTTGCGTGCGCCAGGTTCACGATTTTTCTTGGCACAACGCTCAAAAGGCCCAGAAGACATCACCACTCGATAGTGGCATTGAAGCAGTCACGTAAGGGATCATTGACCAATGCATACCAATTCTGCCTTCCGCGATTGCATGCCGCGACGGCGACAGCAACCGCCGCACCAGTCAAGAGCAGGTCGCAGGCGACGACATTGACGACGATTCCGACAGCCGCAAAAGGACGTATCGCAACCCATTCATTGATCCCGCCACAATTGCCAGCGGGTATCAACAAGTCTACCAAAAGGTGCAGTACTTTTACCCAAAGGTCGGGCATCATGGCCGACGGTTTACCACGAAGCGGCTGCTTGAGATGGGATATGGTGTGGACGAGATTGCGTTTGCACTGGGTTGGTCGAATTACGTCATGGAAACGTTCTATGCTCACAACGCCATCCCGTACAAGGTGTTAATTCTTGCTCTCTTCTTGTCCGTCCCGATTTGCTCACAGCTGACCGCTTTCTCATCCTGCAGGTTCTTCCCGGCGCGGCTGGGCTCAAGCCGCATGAGACATACCATGGCAAGCGTCTCCAAGTTGTCGATTGGGTCAAGCAGCAACAGAATTTGCGAAACCTTTGCGCTCGTTTGCTTTTTCCACGGGCCGACGCGCAACTGCACCTTGCCAAAGAGGCTCAAAAGGCTGCCGCTGCCGAGGACAAGAAGCGCGCGCAAGAGTATACTGGGCGGATTCGATATTTCGAGTCCCTCTTCCATGGGCGCGATTACCTCTTTGTCGCGTCATGTTCGTTTTTCGTTCTGACCCGCAACCTAACGCGCCTCACATCGTTTCTCTGTGACGCAGTGGTTGGGCGAGCTCCAGCAGCCCATTGAAAGCGACCCGAACCCCGACCTTCACGACAGCGGCAAGCAACTGTTTGACGCCACCGCCAAGGAGTAGGCCACGCCGCTCGTCTCGCAAGCGCCCGAGTTCTACTCAAACGCACCCGCAATCGCAGGCAAGTTCAGTGACGAGGCATTTGCTGTTCCCGCCAACCTACAGTTCATTCGGGACCAGCATCTCCGCGACCTCATGGTGCACCACAGTGATCGGAAATTTTCGCAGTACGGCACCACTTGGCCTCCATCGACGAGCGGCTTGCCACGCTCACGAGTGCCCGTTGTCAACATGAGCTCCATGGTGGCAACGATTGTCAGTCATCTGGGGTACGATGCCTCGACTTTTCGGGATTTTCAAGGTACACCGTACGCTCGCGACGCCCATGCCACAACACCGACAGGCACGCAACATTGCCGTGTCCAACGCTTTCACGCCCATTTCCGACGACGCTGATGGCACACATGCTGCCGCGTCTTCCCACTCGCTCTGAACCTACCTCTTTCTCGCCGCTCACATCATCACCTCGCTCAGCGTCTCCGCACCTGGCACTTGCGCGTCCACCGGCGCCAGCACATGTGTCAACGATTTACGATGGCGCGCGACTCACAAGTGGACCCACGAGCGGGTCCCGCTCTCCAAAGGTCAATCCGTATGCGGAGCAATTGGACATGCTGCGGATGGATGTGGGCACTCAGATGCGCATGGCGCCAGGTATGCACATTCCAGTGATTCATGGTATCACCCCATTCTCATTATCCGATGGATGCGAACATGAACTGTAACAGCACCCGCGTCACCCTCTCCTGCCAATTACGCTTCCCGACATCTGTCCACACCACACCATTGTCTGCCACTCAATCGCGATCTCGCGTGGAATCGCTCATGCGTCCCTTGTCTGGTACGTCACCACCGACGCGGCGGCTCTCGCCTGTCGTTCCACAGCGTCGCACGGCGGCGGCATTGACGTCCAACATGCAGTCATCCGCCTCGTCCGCTTCTTCGACGCCGCATCGCGGCCAAGCAGCGGCGTCGTCATCCAGCACCCAGACATCCGCCTCTTTTCTGCCGCCGGCAACTGTGCCATCGACTTCGCGAACGCATTCGACTGAGGCTACACCACCATTGTCACAGCTTGCGGCAGCTCGCTCTGCGCTGCCACCTGCACCCTCAGATTCATCAAGTCAGTCGGCGCAGCCATCACCTGCGGCACCATCCGCATCCACGCTCATCCCACCCTCGGCCGCATCTGCTCCATTGCAGCAATCCAGCAGATCCATCACTGGCGTCGCGAGCTCGCCATCAGAACCGCAGCGACCCGTCGTGTCGCTTACTCGACGAATCTTCCCATTCGGCATGTCAAAGTTGCGGCAGACAAGTACATACCTTCATGGCATGCGCTCTTTGCAGAGCCGCCGCATTTATGTGGCTGGTGACTTTGCCGAGCTGCTGGAAAAATCCAGCCCTTTGACCGCAACGCCAAGTTGTGCACGGTTGTTTGCACCAGCGGTTGTGTGGAACTGTTCCAAGGAACACTCTACGTCCCCCCACGCAGGGGGATTTGAGTATGGTAGAGCTTGCATTGGCGGTGTCGCAGGACGGATTTGAGGTCGCCCCCTCCTTTGAGGTCGAGAAGGAGTATGAGTTGGTTGTGCCAGGTGTGGAGAAGACGAAATCAAAGAAAAAAATGGCGGCGGCGGCAGGAGCAAATGTGGTGCCACGGCGGATTCATCCGCCGATGCGGTCGCTGGTCATGCATTTGGGTAGCGGTTGGAACCAGCCAGAGGAGAAGAATCAAGCAGGTGGGCGCAAATGCCAGGACTCGACTTGGTGGTCAAGGGTAAACGACGCCTACATGCTCGCGGAAGCCGACGGGTCGCTCTGCAAGCACGACAAGAACCAAGGCGGCTTTGTCCACAGTGATCTTGACGCAGTACACCAAGACGACATCAGGCCGCTTCCTTGGGCGTTCTGGCATCACCTTGGTGCCATGCCGGGCCTGGCACAACCGCTTCTCGGACTCCAGCCATCGACAAAACGTTTCGTAAACCGGGTTGTGGTGCGCAGCTTGTCTGGGCCCCACACGACTTTTGTTCCTGTCCTCTCCCTGCCACAAACCTAGCCCAACCCTCCCTGCTCCTCATCAATCTCATGGCCATTGTGCCCTTGCTGCCAATTGCTTGCTTCCTTGATTACTTGCTTTTGCTATTTATATGGGTGTATTAGAGCATCTGCCTTCATTGCTTTTATGAGAAAAAGTCTCGGAGGCACGATCTTGTCGTGGAAAATTCTCAGAGGCACGACTTGTTTTGCTTTCGTCGCGGAAGCACGACCTTTTGTTCCGAAACGCGTCGATTGCATGCAGATAGATCCTTTTGAACATGCACACATTTTCCTTATCCTCTGTGGTTTGCAACTTATTCTTAGTATGAATATCCGAGCATGAAGGAGATGCAGTCGCAACTCGGTCAGGAAGCTTGGGCTCTCGCGAGAGCCCAAGCTGGAGCGTTTAGGTAAATATATGGGTTGGTTTAGATTTGCTTAGGTATTAGGTATCGGTTAGTTTAGGGTTGGTGTTAGGAATAGGTCAGTTTAGGTTTGGTTTAGGTTGGTTAGGTTTAGGCTCCTCAGGCATAGTTAGGTTGTGTCGAATTCTTTTCTTTTCTTATGCATTTTCTTGTGTGAGTTTGTATGGTTAAGCAAAAGGTCGCGCTTCCGTGACTAAATCAAAGCAAGTCGTGCCTCTGAGAAATTTCCAAAACAAGATCGTGTTTTGAGACTTTTTCTCTTGCTTTTATACTTACGTATGTCAAAGCGCCAAATGTTGTCTCAGTCAATGCATATAGTCGTGTACATTAAAAATGAAAAACCTGGCAGGATAGGGGCTCAAGTACACCCTATATGCTTTGTTTCACAAAAGGGAGGACTGTGACTGGACAATCGTGGCAGGAATAGCTCAAACAAAACTACAAAAATTATGGGTACTGAGACAACATCACGGTCCTGTAGCGTAGTGGTAGCGCGTGGCTCTCCTAAGGCTAAGGTCGAGGGTTCGAATCCCTCCAGGATCGTGTGTGCCCATACTTTTCTTTTGGTCTGTCTGAAATACGGAGCGCGTACGAGTGAACGAACGCCGTGTTGCTATGGATCGGGTCCTGTAGCGTAGTGGTAGCGCGTGGCTCTCCTAAGGCTAAGGTCGAGGGTTCGAATCCCTCCAGGATCGTGTGTGCCCATACTTTTCTTTTGGTCTGTCTGAAATACGGAGCGCGTACGAGTGAACGAACGCCGTGTTGCTATGGATCGATAGATCGAAAACTGCCGCATAAATATTCAGGTGCTGCTCCATAGACTCAACTCAACCACACTCTTTTGATGCACACGCATATTGACAAGAATAGGTGCTTCACTCTCTTGAAATAGAACGACACTCCTGTCGCCAGAGCAACAACCAGTGCCTGCTTGCATCCAATCTGTACCAATACTCAACGATAGAACCAGTCTTTTCACGATACCACGTCTGCTTTCGCCATGGCCATCGTCAATATCCTCATCTTGGACGATGTTGGGACGCCGTCCGTTTGCCGTGCGCAGCCAACATACTCAACCTTCGCCTCGCCAACCGAAGCGAATCTCTTCATCATCACATCGATTGGTGGTCTCTGCCCTGCAGACAAGGCCCGCGCAACCGCATCGTGCGAATTGGCACAGCCAACAACGGATGGGTCGCTCGAGCTGATTGCCCTTGCATGGCATCGCGAGTATACGATTCATCATGTGTACACCCCACAGGAAGATTTGTTAATTCGTGCGGCTGGCATTCGCAAGTTGCTCGGAATTCGCGGTGGCATGTCAGTCGAGACCGCGGTACAGTTCCACTTTGGTTTTTTCCAACGCGAAAGGACATCTGACAAACAATCACATGTGCTGGACTGTGTTCTAACTGGCATCTGTTCTGGCTGTCTTTCATCACCAGGTTGCATTCCGGGACAAAGCACTCATGAAACAAATTGCCGCCAACCATGGAATTCCGACAACTGCATTTCAAAGATTGCAATCGCCCAGCGACTTGCTCTCGCTTGTGTCACACGTCGGTCTCCCTGTCATTGTGAAGCCAACGCTTGGTTCTGCTTCTGCGGGCATTCGCGTCCTGCGTACTCAAGTCGACGTTGGAAATTACCTTCGTTCCGAATTCTTTCGTGGCCGTGTTTCCGACGAGAGTGGTCAATTCGATGTCCCAGCGGATATTGTTGCCGAAGCATTTCTGCCACCTGACGTCCCCATGTACCACGTCAACGGTCTCATTGAGAACGGCAAAGTGGTCGGCCTGTGGGCATTTGGTTATATTTCCACAAACCTCGCTTTCACGCAGGGTAAACCGTATGGAAACAAGGCAATTCTTCCCAGAGACGATCCCGTCCTGTACAAAGAGCTCGTCTCAACCACGGAGCGAGTGCTCGACGCTTTCCAAAAGGAACTTGGCGGGGTGCCGCTGAATACTGCGTTCCATTGTGAGCTGTTCCGTGTTGACACCAACTCCGTCGACAACGCAGACGCTCGGATCATCCATTGTCCCCAAGGAACGCAAAAGAATCCGGTTCTGGTACTTTGTGAGGTGGCGAGCAGAAGGCCAGGCGGTAGTATCACAAGCCTCATGGACGCGATGCAGTGTAACAACTCATTGCCATTTGCTCACGTCGAGTTTCGAAGCTTTATTGGCTTGCCACACCCAAAGATTCAACTTGCCCCAAACGTGTGCGCTGCCGACCTGCTCATCCCGCACAAGCCCATGTCGACAATGTTGTCAATGCCGAATCCTGCGGCATTTCCGTTTTCAGACACAATCAAGTACATTCCCTCGCCATGCTATCCATCAGGTCGTGCCTATCGCGGGTACTGCGTTGGTCTTCTCAACACGGTTGCTCGTTTCCGTGTCGTCGGCACCATGTCGTTGAGCGCAATGGAGACACAGTTGCAGCTTGCCCATGAATGGTTCCAGCGCAACGTGACATACATGCCCACTCTGCCTGCGCAGAAAGATCCCCCTTGCTCATTGCAGTCTTTGGATCTAGTCTCAACCCGCAAACGGGTCGCGTATCGTCTGGCCAAGATTGCCATTCGCAAGATTGATGCCAAATTGGCAGTCGCTCGAATGACACCAGCTCCTGGACACAAGAGCAGCGCCCGATTGTTGGCCAAGGTCCACCAGCGTGCAACAACGCGCCGGAACGCAGCCATGTCTATTGTGAAATACTCGCGTCCTCGCGGCGCCGCTGCCCTTGGCGCCCGCGTCGTGCGCGCGTCCGCTGCCGCGGTCACGGTCAACCGTCGCAATGGCAATACTCGACTTAATCAGAAATTGACACCAGCGTTTCAGTCATGCACCCACGTCGTTGTCGCACTCCGCACCCCAGGTATTGGCCTTGTCCGCCGTATCTGCCGAAAGGTTGCTCAAGAGCACGGCCATTCTAGCCAAGCAAAGGCCAAACTTTCCGAAGTGCATTTGCTCGAGTCGGCGGAACGTGTCCACGCGCGCCAACATTCGAAGGCCGCTTTGATCTGCATGAGGAAGCCGCAGAATCGCCCTTTGACGGTGGGAACGGCGTTGCTGAACAAAGTCAAGCGCATTTCTGGGAATGCTGGTGGGGCCGGCGAATGGTGGATGGACGGTAAGCGCCCTGTGCTTGTTTCATCAACAAGTCAGGCTGTCGGGACCAAGAAGGTGAGCAGGGCCGTTTCTCGCGGCGGCGCTGCTATGTAGCGAAACAGATAAGACTCAGTGTGTGGAAATTCAACGGGTCATTGGGTGGCAACGCAAATCGGTGGGTGTCGTCGCCACTCGTCACCCCTGTCGAACTTTGTATTGGTGTGGTTTTCCATGTATTGTAAGCGTGCAATGGTTTATGGTTGCTGCGTTCTGTTACTACTTCAAATCGTCCACCAATCTCTTTTCTTTTCATTCCTGACTGCTTCTATTTCGTTTCGCTCGTTATCGCAGTCCCTCATTTGCACACAAATCAGCACATATTTGCCGGCTATTCTTGATGGACGATGGTTCAAGACTTTGAATGTGCATGATCTCAGACGAGCAGACGAGGGTGATGAAGAAATCAAGCGCAGGAAGTCAATGGAGCGTGCCAGTACACTGTGACAAACAAATGCACACAACAGAAACAACATGAGGATGTATCATCACCTGACTGCAAAATATGAGCGGACAAACTAAACCAGACAAGAAGGGAGAGGTAAATACAATCACGGAACGAATTACACAAACATGATGAAATGAGGACGAGGTGATGTCTATAAAAAGTAGTCGGGGGCAGCCTTCTTTGCAGGCATCCCGCGGGTATCCTGCGCTGCCGCTTCAAAGATGCGATACGAGCGCTCAAGCTTTTCGTCGAGTTCGAGGATGGCGGCAACGTTACCGCACCGATAACAGTACTAGTATCGAAGAGTGAATATGAATGAGGAAGAGAGTGAGTGTATGATTGGGGACAAATGCCAAAAAAAAAAGAAGAGACAATCACGTACATTTGGAGCCGACCACACGGTGACAATTTGATCCTTGAACATGGACTTGTAGCCCTCCATCACCAGCTGATGAGCGCGAGCGATAAAGGTCAAGTTGTTGGTGTGGATAAACGAGGCAACAACATCTCCTCCAAACAAGTAGCCGGCACCCCGTGGGCTCACACCCCATCCATCAATGTCTTCAGGGTCGGACCACAGCAAGTCACACATGGCTCCGTCGTGTGGGACCTCTTGCTTACGATCAATGGTGCGAATCTGATCCAAAGTGGTCAAAGCCGGTGACAGACCGCCATGTACGCACAAGACACGATCGTCGACAAGGGCAGCCAGCGCGAGGTAATCAAAGATTTCGCAGCAATAACGCCACACGTTGACACTGCCAAACTTGCGCAAGCATTCGTCGTAAAAGCCATAGACTTGGGTGATTTGGCGCGATTCGTGATTGCCGCGAATGAGCGTGATGCGGTCCGGGTAGCGAACCTTGAGCGCGAGCAATAGCAAAAAGGTTTCCACAGAATAAAAGCCGCGGTCGACAAAGTCACCCATAAAGAGGTAGTTTGTGTCGGGGCAGTTGCCGCCGACAGCAAAGAGCTCCTTGAGATCGTAAAACTGCCCGTGGATGTCGCCACAAATGGTGACAGGTGCATCCACTCGCTGAACGTTGGATTCCTCAATGAGGATCTCGCGGGCCTTGGCGCAGAGATTGCGGACCTCGGCCTCGGTAATGAGCTCGCAGTTGCGGAGCTGTTCAATCTGACTGCAGGAGGCCAAGCAGGGGCCAGGTATCATAGGCAATGCAGATCGATGGCGTGTGAGAAGACCCGTGGTTTGGGAATGGTGGGAGGAGGAAGGGAAAAAAGAAAAAAGAAAAAAGAAAAAGGAACACCCACCGATCAAGGTCTGATTGCATGTTGGCACTGAGTGCTGGACGGATTCGATGGAAGCGTGGGTGGTACTTGGCCGAAATGATTGACGAAATGGCGCCTGGAGGGCGAAGTGAAAAGCAGGCGAGGATCGACAGGGCAGACCGATGTACCAGGTGCTTTGCGGAGGTTGACTGATGATTTGCTCTGGGCGGCAGCGGCAGCGAGACGGAGCAGGACTGGCTCAGATGGCAAGGAGGGACGGGCGGGGCGAGACAGGGGAGCGGTGGGTTGTCGGAAAGGGTATTGCCTCGAGTTTTAAGATTCGGCAGCGACATTAATGCTTGATCCATCCATGGCTTTATCGGTTAATCATTGTACAAATTCAAAGCGGTAAAGCTTCTTGCATGACTCGATGCCAGCATGCACATTGCAAGAGTTCATTGCAAGCGATATGACGCATCATCGAAAAAAACCAACACTGAAGCCGCCAATTGAGTGCCAATGCCAGCGCTCGTCTCATTCGCCATCCGCACCCGCAATTGCTACCGCAATGGCTACTGCGGGGCGAGCTGCTCCTGTCTGCAACTCGACTGACAAGGTATTCAACACCTCGGCCTTGGCCAACGATGCGGCCGTGCTCGCGTCTGCCCTCCAGCGCTCCTCAACGGCGCTTTCCAGTCTCGCCATCTCCGTCTCGGACTCGCTAGCCGAGGCCGCCAACGTTTCCCACACGGCGTCAACCTTGGTTCATCTTGGCTCGCGCTCCGTGGCCTCCCAAGTCGCTTCGCTATCCGGGCCCGTTTCGCAAGCGGCGGACCTGGTTGCC